TCCCCTGCCAACCCCCACTGAGTCCCCTGCCAACCCCCACTGAGCCCCCTGCCAACCCTCACTGAGTCCCCTCGCCCCACCTGAGCCCCCGTCCAACCATCGCTGAGCCGTTCCCCCACTGAGCCCCATCCCCATCTCTAGTTGACAGTGGGGTGGGGAGCCAGTAGGGGGTGATGGGACTGACAGCACCTGGGGGGTGACCCACCCATCCCCATACACACGCCTCCAGCCCCGTACACACCCCTCCATCCATCCCTATACACACCTCTCCATCCATCCTCATACACGACCCTCCATTCCCATACACACCCCTCCAACCATCCCCATACACAACCCTCCATCTAACCCAAAACCCCCCATCCATTCCCATACACACCCCTCCATCCCGAAACACACCCCTCCATCCATCCCTATACACCCCCTTCCTCCATCCCCATATACACCCCGCCTTCCCCATACACAACCCTCCATCCCCATACACACCCTGCCATACCTCCATCCCCATACGCAGCCCTCCCTCCCTCCCTCCCTCCCCATATATACCCCTCCAGTTATCCAACCCCAAATACGCCACCGGGTCTATCACTGACTCCAGCTGCCTTCACTCCCCTCCCCGCGAGGCCCCCACATTCACACCTTGTAACAAGGCACCGCTCCCAATGCACACCCATGGCACCGGCTCCCCATTCACACCCCTCATTCATTCCCCTCTGTCAGCTCCCTTCACTAACCCCCCAACCAATCTTTCTATGTCACTACACCTCTCTCTCACGCCCCGTGTATCTGGGGCTGGATGGTGGGGCCTGGTGGGGTGGGGTTTGGGTCTGGGACCGCTAGGTGGCTGGGGCTCATTCTCCCAAGCGGAAGGGCTTTGCCTCACGGAAGCCCCCACGTTCCCCATGGGGTTGGTCATGCTGGGAGGGGTGCTGGGCTGGCTGCTTCCTGGGGGTGCCCTGAGGCCACAGAGCTCTCTCCAGGCCGGCCGCCCGAGGCCACGTCCTGCCGTTCCCTTCCGGTCCCTGCACCACATAGCCTGAGCCGAGGGCCCCTCTGCCTATCCCGGCCTGGGGAACCACGGAGCCAGGACCCACCGGCTCCCACCCTTCTGCCTCACCTGGGCTGGGCCCCCGCCCCACACACCAGGGCACTGGGTATGGAGTGCCTGTCACAGCTCCCTGTGCCCACCCCACTGAGACCCCCTGTGCTCAATCCACTGAGACCCCCCCCGCCTCACTGAGACCCCCCTACCCCACTGAGACCCCCACCCACTGAGACCCCTACATCACTGAGTCCCCATTGAGTTTCCCTGCCCAAACCCCACTGAGATCCCCTCTGCCCAATCCACTGAGACACTCTGCCCCACTGAGACCCCCACCCCACTGAGACCCCCACTAAGCTCCCCTGTCCCCACCCAACAGAGCTGCCTGCCCACTGAGCTCCCAAGTAACCCAATGAATCTCCCCACCCCATTGAGCCCCTCAGCCCCACGAATGCCCCCAATCTCTACCCCACTGACCTCCACCTGCCTCACTGAGTTCCCCACCTCACTGAGTCACCTGCCTCATGAAAACCTTGAACCCTCACCTCACTGAGCCCTCCCTGCCCCACTTGCCCCACTAAGGCCCCCGTCCCCATACCCACTGAGCCCCATTGAGCTCCCTGCCCCCACTCTACTGAGCCACCCTGCTGTCCCACTGATCACAGACCCACTGAGCCCTGCCACCCCTACCCCTAAGAATCCCCCCCTGTCTCCACTGCCTGGAGCCCCTGCCCCCCATTCCCTGCAGTAGCTCCCCATGGATCAGGTCGGACGGGGTGACAGACCCCCCCCCAGCAGTGCACCCACCCCCCACAACCCCGCCTCGTGGCAGCTGTACCAGGACTCACCATTTCTCCATAGCTGTTTTGAGATCGGCGCAGGGGGGCTGCCCCTCAGGTTCATCGGGGGCCCCCCCTTTGGGGGCCCCTCCCGGGCTGGGGCTGTCGGACATGCTGAGCCGTGTGTCTGTCCGTCTGTCTGGGCGCGGGGCGGGAGCGGTACCCGGGCAGCGGCAGGGGGTGGAGGATCGCGCTTGGGTATTCGAGATATGTCATAACTGCTCCGGGGTTAATGCACAGCGGCTTAGCCTGGGCCAGACGCCTCCCCCCCGCCCTGCCCTCCCCTCTCACTGCCGGCTGAACCTAGCCAGGACCCAGGCTGAGGCTGGAGGTTTCATCATGCGACTTGATCATTAATTAAAGATTAATCTTTAATTCCTGGAGACTCCAGGACAATCCTGGAGGGTGGCAACTCTAACGGGTCTCTGGGGACCTGCCCCCCAAACGCTCCTTCCCCCTCCATGGCCCGGAGGGCCCCCCTCCACCTCCCACCCTGGAAACACAGAGTCCTGCAGGCCACAGATCCCAGCCACGGACTCTCTGGGTTGAAATGGGGCAGCCTTTGCATTGTGGGAACAGGGACTGACGGTGTCAGGGGTGGGGGGCGCTGGACAGGGCAGCCTCCTCATCAAAGGGTGTGTGTGTGTCCTGGTGTGTGTGTTTGTTAGTGTGTGTGCGGGGGGGGGTTGCAGTGTTGTGGGGGGCGTTTGTGTGAGCATGTGTGCAGGAAGTATTGGGGTGGGAGGGTGTTGGGGTGTGCCTGTGCAGGGTGTGTTGCAGGGGGTTTGTGTGTGTGTGTGTGTGTGTGTGTGTAGGGATTGTAGGGGTTTGTGAGCGTGTGCAGGGATGTTGGTGTGTTTGTGTGCATAGAGGGTGTTGCAGTGTGTGTGTGCAGGGATTGTTTGTGTGTGTGCAAGAGGGCATTGTGGGGAAGTGTGTGTGTGTGTGCAGGGGGTTGGGATGTGTGTGTGTGTGTGTGTGCAGGGAGTGTTGAGTGTGTGTGTATGCACAGAGGGTGTTGCGGGGTGTGTGTGCGGGGGGT